ATTTATTTATTTATTTATTTGATTTATACCCCGCCTACCTGGACCGATGGACCACTCTAGGCGGCTTCCAATATAATATTAAACAATAAAATATTTGTTTCTATTACTGACTCCCGGTAAGAAAAACTGTAGAAGAATTTGAAAGGGGACAGCAGTACTAACCTGTTGTAACACTGTTCTTCGTAGACAGTACAGGAATTTCTAAATTAGAATGATTAAAAAGATAATGTAAGAAATTAAGATATTGCACTGGATATTCAAAATCTGATGAGAATTTAACAATCAAAACTTTCCATTGGAGAACATGTGACGTCCCCTTGCAAAACATATGCTTGTTTTCTAACAAATGTTGCATTAATTTTTGCTTTCTGCCACATTCCTTGGAGCTGGAGCTAGAGACAAAGCATATATGGGTGGCTCTTGAACTGCATGAAGGTGGTCTTCCCCCCTCCTGCAAGTGTTCCTCTGGTCATGAGCTGCCTACAGTAGGGTACAACAGGTATCTTGAGTCTCCTAAATATCATTTTTTTCATATTTATGACAATGAACTATTGTGTAAAAGGAAGTCTTAAGAAAAGAGAGTGTGACTACATGGGCATTTAGCCCACTCCCTGATCCACTCCTGCGATGGGGTGGTCAACGACTTTTTGCCAGTGATCAGAAGACACATCTGATCTTAGGGCAGTTTGCATTTGTGGACCTTACATGTGATTGTGTATAAAAACAAAATGCAGAATTCTATACTACTGTTATAAGAAAAGGACAAGTAAAACATCATAAACCAGACCAGTCTGGGGGTTCCACCAGAACCCTTTCAAAGCTGGATAGTACAAATTTTAGGGAATGGAGAAGGAAAAGGAAGAGTCTGGAAGACCCTGCCAGATATTCTGTGCTTACTGTCTTTGTAAGTAGACTGAGGCTGTGGTCTCACCAGGGAAACGTTCCCTAGTTATACCTCTGTTAGACCGTTGCATAAATTTCTGGTCACATGATGCATGGTCATTATTGAAACATTTTCCCATCCATCAAGGTAACTGCAGAACATTTCCCTGTTGCCAGGAGGCTTCTCTTATTTTGTTCCAATGCTCTTATTGGACCATTTCTTATCAGTACTGTATGTTTGCATGACCCAACCAGTTCTTTTCCAAGGGGAAGTCCCTGGGGCAGATTGCCCTGCCATAATTTTAATATATATATATATTATTTTTTCTGTCCGATATATTGAAATGTATATAGTAGATAATATAGATGTACTGCTTTACAAATCCTCCAAATATGGCAAGGCATTGGTGGGGGTTACATCACTCTATCTACTGTCTGGTGGTGCTGGAGGAGACTCTTGAGAGTCCCCTGGATTGCAAAGAGAACAAACCTATCCATTCTAAAGGAAATCAACCCTGAGTGCTCACTGGAAGGACAGATCCTGAAGCTGACGCTCCAATGCTTTGGCCATCTCATGAGAAGAGAAGACTCCCTGGAAAAGACCCTGACATTGGGAAAATGTGAAGGCAAGAGGAGAAGGGGACAACAGAGGATGAGATGGTTGGACAGTGTCTTCGAAGCAACCAACATGAATTTGACACAACTCCAGGAGGCAGTGGAAGACAGGAGGGCCTGGCATGTTCTGGTCCATGGGGTCACAAAGAGTCGGACACAACTTAATGATTAAACAACAACAAATCTACTGTCTAATAAGTGGCACAGCCATGAATGGGGGTGCAGGATCCATTGAGTGCAATGCAGTTATGCCAGAGGCATGGGAGCAACAGAGGAAATTTTACCAATCTGAAAACACTAACTGGATTTCAACGTATCAGTTAAAAATGTGTTTTTGGGGTTTTTTTTAATTAAAGTAGGGAGCTGCAGTAGCCCAGAAAACAAGAGAAAAAAAAAATAAAGTGGTACCACAGTGGAGCCGTACATACTGATTCAAATAGGAGAAAATAATTTGGTAATGTTAAAAGTAATTGGGATGTTTGTCCAGGTATATATGCCACATGACCATGAATCAGTACAACAAAGGTATGAAATCTACTGGTGAAAGAAGGGAACATTTCCCTGGTGTGACCATAGCCTGACTTTCGAGGTAGAAATTTAAGAGCTCCAGTGCAATGAAGAAGTATCATGGTGTTTTTTTACATAGCTCTCCCCTCTTCAGATAGAAAGGGTAGTCTGAAACCCAAAATGTGTTTACACCTTCATTCAAGACACTCTGGCCTTTTAAACCAGTGTAGACAAAACCATAGAAAAATATGGCTTTCTATCTAAGTAAAGCTGGAGCTTAAATTTATTTACAGCACCATGTAAGAAACACAACGATTAGTTCCCTGTGGCAAGACCTACTGAGAGAAGGTCATCTGTGAAAACCAATGTTTTTATGGTTATATGTTGCCCTTGAATATATTTGTGGGAAAGTGACATATTCAAGACATTTGAATATGACTACACCTTTCCTCATTCTTCCTTCAGCAGTAATCCCCTCCTGGATTACTGACAAAAGACAACAAACAGGCAAAGTTCATGTCACATGACCAACTTGTCTGATCATCTATGAAAGATAGCTTAGAACAGTGGTTCTTAACTTTGGGTTACTCAGGTGCTTTTGAACTGCAACTCCCAGAAACCCCAGCCAGCACAGCTGGTGGTGAAGGCTTCTGAGAATTGCAGTCCAAAAACACCTGGGTAACCCATGGTTAAGAACCACTGGCTTAGAAGGCTATCATAGTCTTCTAGAAATCTTTGTCTGGATCACTGAGTCCTGGAATCACAACCTCGAGAGACTACACACTTTTGGGGTTTATGTGGATGTTACAACTCCATGACAATGAAGATGTAAAACTATCAATTCATCGGGCAATCTCTGCAATGCAGCAGACTGAATTAGTCCACGTGCCACCACACTAAAAAAGAAGTGGCAATCAGCGTTGAAAATGAAGGTATGCATCTGCACAAGAGTCACTTTGCACATTAGAAAATTATAGGTACACCAAACTATACTGGCCTTGACTTCCTGAGCCATACATTCAGAGAGTAAAAGCTATCCCTCCCCTTCGCACATGCCACTGAATGTACTGCTGCATTGGAAGAACTATAGCTCTGTTCATGTGAAGAGCTCTAGTTCTAATACTGTGCGCAGGCACTGTGCTGGTTGTCCCTTTGGGCTGCTTCACATCACAGATATAGCAAATGCACCACATACGGTACTAGCTGCAGGCAATGCACAAAAATGTGTGTGTACAGTCACCGTTTAGCAGGCTGCCTGGCTCAGTGTGGAGCCAGAGGCTGGGAGTTCCTCCGAGTGCCTCCCAGGATGAGCCTAGCCTTGGGCAAGCTGCACAGTCCCTCCAGCACTGCCAGAAGAAGGGAGTGATAAAGCACCCCTGAGCACTCCATTTCTAGGAAACTCTGGTATGGGCTTCTATGAGTTGGAATTGCCTCCATGACATGTAATTAATTGATTACTCATGTCTTGTGTTACATTGTTCACAGTACCCATGTGGTGATTTGCTAATCATGTCTCTCTGTGTGTGCATGTGCGTGCACCATATTAAAGATTGGTGCCTCACAACAATATAACCTTACAGTATTAAGAAGTAAAAATACTGTGTACAAAGTATATATTGAAAACAATTAAAGACTGGTCAAGATTAAAAACGATTTTAAAAATATTTAATTCTTCAAAAGATATCACATTTCATGAATGGTGTGTTCCCTAGACCCCTACATACTGCTTCAAAGCCTGCCTGAAGGTCTTTGCCTCATGACAGAAGGACAAGAGAGTGGGAGCTGATCTGGCTTCCTGAGGCAGTACATTCCAAACCCTGGGCGCAATCCCTGAGAATACCCTCATAGGAGAACTGCCCCCTTGCTGAGCCTATTAACATTCTTGCTTTTAATTTAGATTAATAAGGATCCATTCAAAAAAGAGAGAAAGGTGTAGTCAATTTGTGATTCAATTTATGGAAATCCATGACTGGATATTCCCTGATTTTGCATGTTATCTTGCTCAGCTCTTTCAATCAAATAATTGAGTTAAAAGCATCCTGCTAATTGAGTTAAGTAAGATACAATACCATGCCCAGAGGTAGAACTAGTTATCTCTAAGTCTTCAGAAGCTCTGTGAGATGTGGGTGGCAGTGCAGTTGCTTTTGTCTTGCTTACTGCATGGGTAGTATCAGACCTTTGTGTACCTTGATAAGTTATCAGTGGGACTTCAGTTGTAGATGTTATTTCATTCTTGTTTGCTGTGGGGGTGGTTTCAAACTCTTCAGCATTTGGTGTTGTATAATTACTGGGAACTGTAGACAAAGTTGAAAAATTACATTGAGTCTCATAAAGGTCTGTTCAGAATAATAAACTTTCAGCCTGCACCTGTTCACACAGAGAGAATTCTGAGACAGGTTCTTAATGGAATAATAAAAGAAACTCATTTCCTCTGGGGTGTCTCCCGTTATGGGATGAGGAGAAACTGGACACCAGGAAAAAGGTATTGTTCAGCTATATTTGTAATGAGCTTTGTTTGGATTGTTGATTTTTTAATAACTTTACATATAACGTACAAGGGATTAATTAACATGTGGTATTGAACCCAAGTTTAATCATTTTAATAAGGAAGAAACAATCTTGGGCTTGTGTAATACCTTCTTAGCTCCCCTCCTGTAACTGGAAAGAAGAGTTGTCTGCCTCTGTTTGTGCTTAATCACATATTGTCATGTTGTTTGGACAAGCTGTAATTAATTTCAAACTAGTTACCTTCAAACCATAGTTAACCATGGTTAGTTTCAAACAAGCCAGCTTCAAATCATAGTTAACTATGGTTAGATTCAAAGAAGCCAACTTCAGAACATATTGATGCTGGTCTGTTTAGAACTCACCACAGATCAGATAAACAACAATTGTGGGTTGGTACAACACAACAAATCATGGTTAAGCAAATATTGAAGCAAAAGTGCCTTTAAAAAGTAAGTATGCCACTAACCCACCCTTTCAGCCTTTCAAATGTGCTTTCATTTAGAGCAGGAAAAATGCACTTTCAGCCACAGCCTGTGGAGATGCTTCCTGCAGAGTTCTGGAGGTTGAAATCTAAATCAGCAACTTTTCCAGGTGTAGTAGAGAGTTCTTGGGAGATGTACTTGTTTCTGGACCTGTCATAGATATTGAGTGCTAGCTGGGAGGGAATTATCACTGTCACAGATAATTCACTAATGCAACCCTCCAAATACTACTTCTATAACTGTGAAACTTTCCTTAACTTCAGTAAATGAAGTAACAGTGGTTTCTGTTGCTGCAACAGTTGCCTTAAGACTAGGAATAATGTTACTGCAAGAGCTGACTTGGCAGTGTTCTTGACAGGCCACTGATAACACAATGCCTACATTTATACTGACTACTGTCTGTGAATGTGGGTTTTAATGGCATTTGGCAGAGGAGAACATTTCCTGCTATTGTAGAACAGTATTTGCATATTTTTCAGTTTTCAAGGGAAACAATCATATTGAATTGATTCAAGGAAATATGACCAAAAGGGGAGGGGGTGGAAGCCACAAACCCTGCTCAGCAAACACTTGCGCAAGAGCTTACGCAAACTCTTGTTAAAGAGTTGATCAAGTGCTTGAATAGGTAAATTCTGTTTAATAGCAGTTCCCATACTTCCTTTTTTCCCTTCTTCATGCACTTCTTTGTTACAAGGTGCACAATGATCCGTCTTTTGAGTGTAAGGTGCTTTTGGCTTCACAAATGCAACCAAGGTTTGCCTAAAATTTAGGAAGCGAGCACTGCATAGAACACGAATGAAGCACTTTTCACAGATAACACTATGGCCTGTTGCACAAGCAGAAGGGGCAACAACAGGAGTCCAGTGGCAACCTCTTTTTTTTAAAAAAAAATTCTTTGTGTAACTTAATTTGACTTCATGGTGCTTATTTCAATATCGTCTGCTATCTGAATGTATTGCGGCTGACTATAAAATCATCACTTTTTTCTAAGTATCTTCTTGCTACCTTTTTAAATCTTCATTTTATGATGTGTTTACCTTTATTCGATGTAGAGAAGGGGACTGGAGTAGATGTTTCTGTAATGCTTGACCCTATCAAGAAAAGAAGTACAGAATTTGTGAGAAGCAAACAAGGAAAAAAAGTGTAAACCATTCAAGCGAGAATGACATCTTGACAACCCCAATCAAATTGAATTGCTTGTGCATCTGAAAAGGGCCCATTCCCTGGGAATTTTATTTACTAAAAGTAAACAGACTTGCCTGTTGGTGGAACTCCAGCATCTGTTAATGCAGAAAAAGACATTGTTATTTTTACTGGTACCACGTTTCATCTCCTATACAACTCATATTTTTTATTGTTGCTGAATTGTATTGCTAATTAAGTATAATTCAGTCACATAAGGTTTTATGCAACAGAATTGCTCTGTTGAGCAAAGCCTGCAATCTTGTGATTGCCTTGTTATTGATAGGTATTATTACGTGGAGTTCTGGGTTCATGAATATTTTCATAATGGAAACTCAGGCTTATGAATTATGCAAAAATTAATAATAGTGATATAATAATTAGCTGTTCTGTTCTGAAACCTTTAATAATAATTAACTGTTTCTGCTCTCTCTTGCCCACTTCCCTGTCATTGTTTAAGAAAAGCTATTAAGTGTTTTTTGTTTGTTTTTTAGGGACATGGTGGTACTACGGGTTAAACCGCAGAAGCCTCTGGGCTGCAAGGTCAAAAGGCCACCAGTTCGAATCCACATGGCGGAGTGAGCTCCCATCATTTGTCCCAGCTCCTGCCAACCTAGCAGTTCAAAAGCACATAAAAATACAAGTAAATAAATAGGTACCACCATGGAGATAACGGCATTCCATATCTAATCACGCTGGCCACGTGACCACGGAAGATTGTCTGCAGACAAAACACTGGCTCTATGGCTTGGAAACGGGGATCAGCACCACTCCCTAGAGTCAGACACAACTGTACAAATTGTCAAGGGGAACCTTTACCTTTACTTGGTTTTTAATCACTGATCACAGCCTTTCACTTATAACATATCTGCAGGATGTACCTCAAAGTTTGTTTCAGGTCCAAAATACTTGAAAGAGTATGAAGAAATGTTACCTGAGCAGATGACACTGACATCTTCATTGTGCCCACAGTTGCTTGTTAACCACTCAGAATGCTGGCAGTCCCAGAGATAGAGTTCAGTTCCTGTGCAGTTCACATCATCCAGGACTGTGTTTCCAGTTCCTTGGCCAAAATAAGACCATCCCAGCACAGTGGTTGCCTCTCCACATTCAAGTTGTCTGCACACTACCTGTGCGTTTGTCATATCAAAGTTATCATCACAAACAGTCCCCCAGACTCCGTCATAAGAAACTTCGACTCTCCCGACACATCTGTTCCATGCGTTTACCAACTGCAATTCCTGAGCACCTTTCCAAAACACAAATGAAGTGGTTGTGAGTAAAATAAAAGGACATCAGTTCTATATTGCTTTGAACTAGGCGGCCCAGGGACTATAATGGGGGTGGGCAACTCGCTAATGCATTGCGGGGGATATTCCCTTGCCCCAATGATAAGCCACTCAACATTTGAACAATAAGAAAAGGTACATTCAATTCAATTATTGGGATGGGGAACTGTGTTAATCTGTTGTACCAAATCCAAGAGCCTTGTGATGTCAACCATGTTAGACAATTCCGTGGACTGTGGTTCATTAGAGTTTATTCTGAATAAAACATGTTAGCCAATGAAAAAAATGTCAGTGATAATAAAATAAATTAATTCTCTTAGCAGGATTGAGTGCTGAAGACAGTGCACTCCTTATTGTGCCTTCTGTCCTAAGAGGATTGATGTTATCTATAGCAATCCCTCAGCAGGATTCTGCAGGACCAAATTTGCTATCTTCTTGTAGCAGTTTTTAAGACACAAAAAACATTCCAAAGATAAAATTGGGAGTCTCCCACCCTGGTTCAGTTTGGTTGACAACCATTTCTTCAGGCATACTCAAATGGCCTGAATTCAGTGCTCTGTTCACCATGTTGTGGCAGCCTTTTATCACTCAACATTTCTGTATGTAATTTGGACCCCAGAATAATTCATACACAAGAGAACAAGGCACATACCTCTACTAATAGCTAAGAGACATGCCTAATAAAATCATATAAATGAAAATGAGCATGTAATGGAGTTTCTTAATTAATATCCTTACACTTTGGCATCCTATTCTTTTATAATTTTTTGTTCCTGAGCACCCCACACATATAAAATTATGAAATACATTCTCAGTGAAGTTTAATATACTTCATTACTGAGTCACACTTTCCATGTTTTATTTTAATTAGGTTTATCTACTTGCCAATTCTAGGCAATCCCACCTTTATTTGGATTTAATAAATAAGCATCTCACTCACAAAGGCAAGGCAAAAAAATATCAGTACCTGATTCATGTAGAAATCTAGACTGCATTAACACTGTCCAAAAGAAGAGTATCTGGGCATCCATTTTCTGCAGGAGTAGCTGTTAATCTAAAGAAATAAGATCTTTCAGCATTTATAAGAATACTAATCTTAACCAGAAGACATGTTATGCAACTTGTTCTTGCTTCTTGAACTCCCAAATCCATGTTCAGGAAGTCCACAATATTTTCATTTCGCAACACCTATCCCTAGAAATAGACAGTTACTGACGATTGTTGTTCTGTAAAAGCAGTGGAAGGGTCAGCACTCAAGAAATTTGTAATTATACATAATGCCATCTGATGTCAATGTTCCAAGAAAGGTTTTTCAGAAGTAATGCTGTCTTAATTTTATGCTGTTTTATACCATATTATGTATTAATTTTTTGATGTGACCCACTTGGAGATTTCAAAATATCAAACAATATATAAGTGGTATGAAGTATGAGTAAATATGTTCAAGTACCCTGAGTGGTTTAGTGGATAGAGTGACAGACTAGGACTCTGGAGAACAGGGTTCAGTTCCCTGTTTGGCCATGGAAACTCAGTGGGCGAGAGGAGCTGGTAATAGCACTTGTTAAATACCATGCTTACTTTAAAAACCCGGTCAGGGTTGCTGTACGTTAGTTTCAACTTGATGGCTCATGACAACAAAAATACAGGTAGATAGAAGCAATATACAAGTATTACAAATAAAATAAAACCAAGTTCACTGACCTTTCAAACAGCCAGACTGTTATGTATGAATCATCCATAGATGAAATTCCTTTTACAAAAATGCTGTATGTAAAGAATTATTACTCTTGTACTGTAATACAGGAGAACAAGGATGAAAGCCTTCCTGAAGCTCTTTAGGTGAATATTAGGGGGAAAATAAATGACATAGCAGTAGGAGTGTACTACAGGCCACCTAACCAAGCAGAGGAAATAGATGAACATTTTGCAAATCAGTTGAGATGTGTAGGAAACACACCATTGTAGTAATGGGGGGGGATTAACTACCCAGATATCAACTGGGAAACCAACTCTGCAGCAAGTGGGAGATCCATCAGGTTCCTGACATGCCTGGCTGACAACTTTATCATTCAAAAGGTGGAGAAGGTAATTAGAAGATCAGCCATACTGGACTTAATACCTACTAATAGGCAGGAAATAGTTGAGGGAGTGGAAATTGTAGCAACTTTAGGAGAAAGTGACCGTGTCGTATTAGAATTCACCATCATGCAGGCAAGGGTAACTGTACCAAGTCAGATTAATGTTCTAGATTTTAAGAGAGCTGACTTTAACAAAGAGATGTAATAGGAAGGATTTCAAGGATGGAAATCCTAAAGGAAAAAACAGTTCAGGAGGCTTGGGAAACCCTGAAAGGCGAGATAATAAAGGCCCAAACCAAAATAATACAACAAAGAAAAATAAGAGATATCTAAGAAGACCAGCATGGATGCAAACAGAGCTCTCTGACAAGCTAAGGGACAAAAAGCATAAGTATAAACAACTGAAAAAGGAGAACTTCTAAGCCCACATTTCAAGGAACTAATAGAAGATATTGAGATTAGGCGGGAAATACCGAACTCATGGAAGGAGGCTTATATATCCTTAATACACAAAGAGGGGACAGCGAAAAATCAAATTAAGAATTATAGACCAATATTTCTCTTAAATGTCGATTATAAGATTTTTGCAACCATCTGGGCAACAGGAGGCTAAAGGAGGTACCGTATTTGCCGCCGTACAAGGCAACCGGCCATATAAGATGACCCCCCCAACAGGAAGAGCCTGGGAGGGCGGAGGCAGGAGGAGGAGGAGGAAGAGGGGAAGTGGGGGCTGGCTCAGCAGCGGGAGGTCAAAGAAGAGGGCAAGAGGCTAAGCGGGCGGCAGCAGGAGGAGGAGGAGGAAGAGGGGAAGTGGGGGGGTGACAGGCAAGCGAGCGTGCTGGCTCAGCAGTGGGAGGGTGAAGAAGAGGGCAAGAGGCTAAGCGGGCAGCAGCAGCAGGAGGAGGAGGAAGAGGGGAAGCGGGGGTGGCGGGTGAGCGTGTGCGTTGGCTCAGCAGCGGGAGGCCAAAGAAGAGGGCAAGAGGCTAAGTGGGCGGCAGCAGGAGGAGGAGAAGAGGGGAACAGGCGGGTGGTGGGTGAGCGAGCGTGCAGCTGGCTCAGCCGCGCGGGGCGGTGGACAGCCCAGCGGTGGGCTCTGGCTGAGGGCGAGGAAGAGGGCAGGAGGCTGAGCCGCCAGGCTGGCTCAGCCGCGCGGGGCGGTGGGCAGCCCAGCAGCGGGCTCTGGCTGAGGGCGAGGAAGAGGGCAGGAGGCTGAGCTGCCAGCGGCAGGAAGAGGAGGAGGAGGAGGAAGAAGAGGGGAAACGGGCGGGTGGCTGGCAAGCAAGTGCGCAGCGGGCTCAGTGGTGCAGGGCGGTGGGCAGCCCAGTGGTGGGCTCTGGCCAAGGGTGAAGAAGAGGGCAAGAGGCTGAGCTGGCGGCGGCAGGAAGAGGAAGAGGGGAAACGGGCAGGTGGCGGGCAAGCGAGCATGCAGCTGGCTCAGCAGCGCGGGTCAGTGGGCAGCCCAACGGTGGGCTCTGGCCGCTCAGGCATGGCAGGCCTGCCTGCCCACCTTCCTCCCCAGCCAGAGTGGCCCTGCATCAATCACTCAACGGTGGCAGCGGCGGCTCCTTCCTGGCCCAAATGAAGTGCACCCGGCATACAAGATGACCCCCCCACACACCTGGATTCATGTTTTTGGGCCCAAAAAGTCATCTTGTACGCCAGCATATACAGTACTTGAAGAAATAATACATAAAGACTAAACAGGCTTCATCCCTAAAAGGAAATCATCATCAGACATAAGGACAATAATAGATACTCTGGAATATTATGAAATGCATCCAGAAAAGCAGATGATGCTAAACTTCTTAGATGAAGAAAAAGCCTGTGATAATGTTAACTGGGAGTTAGAAAAAGCCTTTGATAATGTTAACTGGGAGTCTATCTTCTTACAATTAAAGAAGATCAGAGTGGAAGGAACCTTTTTACAACAATCAAAGCAATATATACCAAACATAAAGCCAGGATTAAAGTTAATGGTAATCTAACCGGAAATATGCAAGTTGAACAAGGTAGAAGACAGGGATGTCCGCTATCCCCATTACCATTTATTTTAACATTGGAAATTTTGAATAGACAGATAAGGGAGAATGAGGGAATTTAAGGACTTAAAATTAGAGGAGAAAAATTTAAGGTGCAAGCATATGGGGATGATCCAGAAATAATACTGGAAAACTCTCTAGAAAATTTGGAAGAACTAATGAGAGTTATAGAAGAATTTGGACTGGTGGCAGGTCTTAAAATAAATTATCAAAAAACAAAATTTATGATTAAAAACGTAAAGAAAGATGATGTTGAAAAATTGGTAAGGAAAGCTAACTTTGAGGAGTTACTGAAATCCAAATACTTAGGAGTTAACCATCACCAAAAAACTAAGTAATTTGATGAAAGAAAATTATCTTACAATACAGAAGGAAATCCAGAAAGATTTGGAATAATGGAATAAGCTGCAATTCTCTTTGATGGGAAGAATATCCACAATAATAATGATGATATTATTAGAATATCCACAATAATAATGATGATATTACTAAAATTACTATTTTTATTTTAAAACTTACCAATACTGTACTATTAAATTATAAATACTTTAAGGATCTGGACAGCTTGACTTCAAAATTTGTGTGGAAGACTAAGGAACCAAGAATAAAACTTAGAATATTATAAGACCTAAGAAAGAGGGGGTTCAGGACTATCAAATTGGCTATTATACTATAAGGCTTGTGCTATGTCTTGGACATAAGAATGAATAATTGTCAAAAGTGAGTAATTCTCAAAAATCAAAGACTATTGAAATTGGAGAGGCATGATCTAAAAATGGGGTGGTATGCATATGTGTGTTATTGAAAACATAAAGAACAATTATATTTTGCAAAACATATTCTGAGGAAGGCGCTATGTTCCGTATGGCAAAAATTTCAAACACAAACTTATTGGAAAACTAATAGAAATATAGGTAGGTCCTACAGAGGCATTCACATTGAAAGTGCTGAATCAGAAAGGAGTGTTACTCGCACATAAAGAATTACTAACTAAAGAACAGAATATAAAAGATAAACAAGAGCTAGAGAAATTAGGTGTGGCCACTGATTGGTGGTCAATGTTGAAACTGGACTCGAGATACAAAAAAGATAAAATTGTGGATTTCTTTGAGGGCAAAGTTCAGGTGGATGAATTGTGAATATATACTAATGAGAAAATAATTAAAAAATGTATACATACTTATTGGAGTATGACTTGGAGGATGAGAGGGTGATGGAAATGATGTTAACATGGGCAAGTAATTTTGGACATAATATTGATATTGATGCATGGACAAAGATATGGAAAGCTTGTCATGATATGATTAAGCCTGTGAACCTTAGGGAAAATATCCTCAAAATGTTTTATAGATGACATTATACTCCTGTAAGGTTGGCAAAAATATCAGAGGGTAACAGCAATGTTTGTTGGAAGTGTAAAAAAATAAATAAATCCAGGGACCTATTATCATATGTGGTGGCCATGTGAAAAAGTTGAAAGATACTGGACACAAGTGTGGGAAATGGTAAAAGAAATTATTCAACAAAAATAAAATTTTAAACTTGAAATAGTATTACTGAATATCATGCTGGAAATTATTGATAAGAAAATAAAATATTGTCTAATGTATATACTCACAAAAGCTAGGCTACTCTGGGCCCAAAAATGGAAAAATTAAGAAATCCTAATGATGGATGAGCTTCTAAACAAGTTGTTGGCTATTGCAGAACTAAATACACTCTCAGAAGCATTGCAGGAACAACCAAGAGATTATGTAAAGCAAAGTTGGAAGCTAATATATGATTGGGCCCAGAAAAAAGCAGGAGTTTAGGGCAAAACTTAGTATTTGATGAACTCAGTGCTCACACTGGAACCATCTTGGAGACACCCGAGATTCAGACAATGATGGAATCTCTGTCCTAAAAGGGGAGAGGGATTTTAGATTGTTAATTTTTCATTTCCGTAGCTGTTGTTGGTTGTTTTGTGTATTTTTTGTCTATTTGCTTTGTACTGTTATTAGAAAATAAAATATAAATTTAAAAATATAAAAAACAAACAAACAAAAAACCGAAAAGGGGGCTCATAACTAGAATAGAATACCAGCAAATACCTCAAATCTGCAAGGATGGAGTCAGGAAGGCTAAGGCTCAGAATGAGCGAAGACTTGCAACAAATGCTGAAAATAACAAAAAATCAGAAT